TTTATTTCAAACACTGTGGAACAGAAACAGCATCAAAATGTGCAATGAAATCAGTTTTCCCATTATTTTGACCAGCTGTGGAAAATGTCACATCATATTATTAAATAATAAGACCACATGGCTCTTACATAGCACTTTTTCTTCAGTAAATCTCAAAGCACTTTAAAATATTATTGTTTATTGGGGTAGCATTTATAAGTGCCAAAAATGGACCAGAACCCTATGGTGTTAGGTGCCATACAAACACAATATAAATACAGTCCCTGCCCCATGGACCTTAGCACGTTAAATGAGAGATACATTCCCCTATCACTGACTTGATTCATTTTAAACACATGTTTCTCCATGCTCATATTGTAGGTAAGGAACCTCTTAAGGATAAAATTTGGCCTGGAAGCAGATATGTTTATATCTGTTTGGGAAGAGAGAGGAGAATTGTCAAGGCATTTTTCCCCCCTTTCAAGTTTGGCATGAAAAAAGATCAAGACTTCCAGGAAATTATGTCGCTTTGACTTTAAAAAAAAAAAAAAAACCTGGCAAGTGCTAGTTCCATAATAATGCCTAATTACTTCTGTTATTTTGAAAATAAAATGATTCAGTGTGCTTGTGTAATGCAATCTGTAAATTGGCTACTAAACACGCGACAGGAACTTTCTGTACAAAGTCTCTGAAGGATTCTTACTGTACACGTGGGATGCCCATGTTTCCAATTAATGGGACTTCTGTAAGAGTGCAAAGATGGTCCTGCCGATAAGGAGCTGCAATCAAATTCAAAATTCAGTTCCTGACTCTGCTACCGATTCCTCGGCCTGCGTTCGCTCTCCTGCTAGGGGCTTGTCCTACTCCTACTGAGTAGTTGTCGGTCATGTTTACACTGGGAGTGCTTTACTGACATACTGCACGTTCAAAACCATCTTTGTGTGGAAGTAGCTTACATCTGCAGAGTTACACTTCTGCTTGTATAGCTTGCTACACCTCCCCTTCTCCTCCCAAGTGAAACAAGCTCTACTGGGAATAGCATAGCTTTGCCAGTAAGGATATATCTCCACCATAGAGGCACACCTCTCGCACTGAAGTTATAGTGCCATAGTGTAGACATTTCCTACCTCCAAGGAATGTGGTTACTCCTTGTCTCCGGGAGATGGTAGGTAGGGACGTAAAAGGGTAACTGGTTAACCTTACCGGCATGATTTCCAGCCTAACCGGTTAACCAGAGAGCCGAACCAGCAGGAGGAGTTCTCTATCTACCATAGGCTGGCCGGCAGGATCCCAGCCTGTTTGGAGCAGCCCCAGCTGTGGGATCCTAGCTGCTCTGAACCAGCCTCCGGTTAACTGGTTAAACAATGAAAATTACATTGTTTTACCAGTTAACATTTTAATGGGTATTAACATCCCTTGTGGGAGGTAGGTGAAGGGAAGAATTTTTCCGTGTCTACACAGGGGGTTAGGCCAACCTGCCTACACTACACAGGGTGCAATGTTTTTCATCACCTGGAGTGAGGGAGCTGGCTTAGTCTAATTCTGAGTGTAGACCAGATGAGTCTACCACAGCGATGGGCAACCTGTGGCCCATCAGGGTTCTATGTGTGGGCTCGGGAGACATTTTGCTGACGGTTGCCCGTGCGTAGGGTTGCCAGATGCTGCTGGTTTCCACCCTGGTAATTTTTTTTCCTACTGGTGTTACTCAAGTGACAGGCATGTGAAGCCAGGGCAGGTAAAGGGAGATGCGGGTGGATTGCAAACGACACTGATTGTGAGAGCCAGGCACTCCCTCTACAGCCAATCCTAGCGCTGCTACAGTTCCATTGGCACAGCCCAAAAATTCTAGGTCTGCAAGTGCAGTGAGCAAAACTACTCTTTCCTGGAGACCATCTTGGTTATAACAGTCTTGCAGCCCACTGAGATAGAGGAAGGCCACTCCTGCAGCCCACTCACTAGCCCAGGTTGCCTGTCACTAAGTCTACAGTACAAGTTTCGGCTGTCTCAGCTCTGTCAGTCACAGATCACACCTCTTGACACCCTGGACTGCCACAGCTGTGTTGGAAGAAGTCTGTAGTGTAGAGTGCTTTAACTAAACCAGTGATATAAAATCTCCTATTGTGGTTGCGATTATATTAGCATAGAAGTGTTTATACTTGTATAGCTATAGGCATGCCTAAACTATGGAGATTATACTGGCCAAGCTATAGCACTGTCCACACTACAGGGACTGTTATGGCCTAGCTACAGCTCTGTAGCCATTCCAGTATAATCTCATAGTGTAGATATAGCCTACACTGACAAGTTACAATCACTATAGCAATACAGGAAGAATCTATGCAACATCCATCTAGGTGATTACCAGCTGGTAATTAGGTCAACAGAAGAATTCTTCCATCAACCTAGCTGCATCTACACTGGGAATGAGATTGGCATACCTATGGTGGTTTAGTGCTTGGACCTAAATGTTAAGTGTAGACCAGGTTTAAGTTACTTTCACAGCAGTTAACTGTTCACACTAGGCTTTTACTGGGGTGTCCATTTGAGTAAATCACTCCCTTAACTAAAATAATTTAGAAGTAAAACTTGTAAGTGTAACCCAGGCCAGCAGCTGTTCTTGCATGGTGATATTCCTGTTTCAAGGACCTTTTACACTGGGGGTACATCTACGCTGCAACACTATTTCAGAATAACTAGGGTTATTCTGAAACAACTTAGTCCAAATCTACACAGCAGGCAGTTATGTCGCAATAGTGTCAAAATACTGTCAAGCTGGAGGACTTCTTACTCCTACTCCTGTAACCCTCATTGTACAAGGAGTAAGGGAGGTCAGAGGAAGAATGCTCGATTTCGAAATAAGTGCTGTGTAGGTGCTCCCTGTTCCGAAATAAGCTATTTCAAAATAAGATACACAATTGACGTAGCTCAATTTGCATAGCTTATTTCGAGTTAAGCCCTGCTGTGTAGATGCACCATAGCAGAGTAGTATGAAAGGACTTTAGTGTAAATGAGAATCAGCCCAAGGTACGTTCAACTCCAGATTCCAACCACGGCAAAGGTCAGAGCTCGGTCAGGTTAGCTCGTGTCTGCAATATTCTTCTTTGAGATTGGCTCTAACTTGGTCATTTGGGTCCAGATTTTGAATGTTCCAAAGGTCAGGTTGGCACAGGAGCAAGTTTTTTCTTGTTTTGTGAGGCGTGCAGCAATCTGGGGGCATTTGGTAAATGACAGGTAAAATAATGAAAAAACCCAGGGCAATGGAACTAGAGAGCTGCTAAACACATTGGAACAGATTCTGATCTCACCTGGATGTGAATCCAGAGTGACTCCACTTCCTTGCAGTGGATTTACACTCCTGTTGCTACGTCTGCACTGCGGAGCTATTTCGGGATACCGAAAGAATCCCGAAATAGCTAGTCTGCCTCTTTCGAGCAAGTCTGTTATTTCAAAATATCACGGGCTCACTATTCCAATGTCCCTGTAAACCTCATTCCATGAGGAGGAAGGGACGTTTTGGAATAGTGATTTATTTTGAAATAAGTGCTGTGTAGGCTGTGCCAAATTTCGAAATAAGCTATTTTGAAATAGTCTCAAAATAGGCTACGCAATTTGCATAGCTCAAACTGTGTAGCTTATGTCGAGCTACGGATGCAGTGTAAAGACACCCTAAGTGAAATAAGAACCAGCTCCCTGATTTCAACAGTTGTAACCCAGCTTACACCAATGGTAAATTTGGCAGTTGTCCACTGAAAAGGTGCACTTGTTTATTTTTTTTTAAGTTAAAGAAGGTCATTGCTTACAAAGTATTCACCATTTATTGGTGCAGACACAGTCTCGTTCATTGATACAGTTTTGCTCTGTTGGGCTTGGCAGGTTCCATTGTACATTGTTCCAAAGTCCCTTACATCTGTGTAAAGCAACCTTGTAGAATTTTACCCACCCATTTGCTGGGGGCAAGGCAAATTTTTGTTCTTTTTATAGGAGAGGAAATATTTTTAATAGGAGAGGAACTATCTTTTGGGTTTCCCTCTCTCCCTCCCCATATCATTGTAATGGCAGAAGAATAGGTTTTGAATCTGAGCTGGAATAGGGCCAAATTCATTCCTCATGTAAATGGATCCTAGGAAGTCAATGGAGTTCCACCCCCTGGCATTGCCTGGGGTCATAGTCTCTTCTAAAATAGATGTGCAAGCCTAGTCAAATCCTGAGTAAGGTCTGTGATTTAATCTTTCTGAATCCTGCTAATCTCAGTGGTCTCTTGTGGCTGTGAGTTCCGCAGCTTAATTTGCATTGTTTTTGTTATTTCACAAAAATCTATTAAATTCTATAGAAGGGTTCCAAAGATGTATTGTTATCTGTCTCTTAAACACTGCTGGCCTGATTCTCATGTAGGACCCTTAAAATGGGAATAAATTACATATACACCCACTTGAAAGAAAAAGCTAGACCTCTGGGATTTGCCCAGGATCGCAGAATGAATTTATGGCAAAGCTGAGCTTTCAACACATAAGGATGAAGCCATAAGAGCTACAAACATTCTCATAACCACTGCGTCTTCACCATAGCTCCAGCTCATCAAAGCAATGTGCAGCTGTCCCAGTGTAAATGAGGATCTGGCTTTGTAGGCCTTTTCTCGTAACTAGGAAGCGGAGCTGGTTGCATGTTGGGTGATATTTTTAATTGACATTTTAATGATTTCCCCCCCTGCAGGTTTTTAATATCTTGAAGATTGTTTTTCCAGTGTTTTTGAAATTATTCATATTCTTCAAATATTTTGAATGTGGATTTATTCTCCCCCCCCCCCAATTTTTTCCAAATGTTGAGTAAATCCCCCCCTTTCCCATTTCAGTCACTCCCCCCCCTTTTCAAATCCGCTGTACTGGGAAGGCAGCTGTGACATTTGAAACAAGCCCCCGCCACCTCCATATGTTACATGCCCGTGTCTGACGCCCCGCCGCCTCTCCCGTCTCCATCGTACTCTTCCTCCTCCAGGTCTCAACCTGTCCTGGTTGTGTTTTCAGACATTAAGAAAGAAAGGTTTTAACGGCTGTGACAGCCCGGAACCCGACGGAGACGACTCCATAGACCAGAGTCCCCTGATGGAGGATAAATACCGCAAAACCAGCGAGGATCTGGATATCCTCTTCAAACGATACGGTGTAAGTACTGCGCCCCTCTGGCCAGAAATCCTTCATTATCTTTTTTCTTTTTTTTTTTTTCCTTTTGTTCGATTTCTTTCCAATCCTCCCCCCATCCCCAACGCCTCCCCCCTTCCCCCTCCCCCCCCGGCACAGGCGC